TTCCAATATGATTGTCTTCCATGTAGTTTTACAGTTTTCAACAGTGAACATGATAGCTTAAAATTTACATGAGAAAAATGTTTATTTCTATTCAGGTCAACGACAACGGCATATTGTCTTTTCTGACCGAAGTTCCAAGTTTTTACAATGGGCAACTACCTCGATCCTACCCCATCATTGCTCCACTATATACAGACGTAGACATTCGTGGTACTGGACGTATTTACTACAGGTAACGTAACACCTTGAGAAATTAAAGCCAAACTTTTGAGAATCGCCTGTATTATTTCGATTTAGAAGTGGCAAATCATTACAACAATATTTAAATAATCTGAACTACTAATAGTTAGAGTTTGTAATAAAGACGTTAAAATATTCTGTACATTTCCAACGTGTGCCACTTTTATCATAATCGTGTCGTAAGTTACGCTGTTCTATTTATACATTTGTGTTATTCACGACAGCGAAGTTCTGACGTCATGTGATGACCAACAATCATCTTACACCAGGACTGACGTCTTACTATCAAAAGTTGACTGTTTGAAAATCTATTATTTTATTTAACTTTACATCAGCCAATTATACATTTTTTTTATTGTTGGGCGGACCCATTTGGATTATTCGGTATAAAGAAGAATCCAAAGTCCGGTTCAGTTATTGGTAACGAGATTGTTTTATTTCTTGAACTTATTACCACAAGGTATCTTTAATATGTCCGCCGATGGGTAAGAAATATGTTTACGAACTTACAATTCGAAAATGCGGGGTTCGATTCACCACAGTAAACAGCAAATAGCCAGTTGTGTAGATACAAATTGTATGTGCTAAAATAACAACAACATAGCTTTAATAAATTTCGCTGATAGGCCTACGTTTGCAGTTAGCACTAACGCAACAGGTCCCTTTATCATGCTTTATAACAATAGTTAAATTTTTTGTCAAAACTCTCTGACTTCAAATTCTTTTCCCATTGTGTAGCTTTGTGTTTAAACTACAAACAAACGGATTTCTTTAATATGAAGACGTGTGACACCTAGGAATTTCCTGAAAATTTAGATTTGAATTTTTGTAAGATTTGGCGTAAAACAGAATGTTTGAGTAAGCTCAATGATGTAAACAGGCGCGGTTTGGCCCATCGGGCAGGGACAAACTAAAGGGGTCGGAACGGCCTGGCAATTGGACTGGTCCTAGCATCTTGGTGGCAGGTGTGTGTGTGTGTGTAGGGAGAGGAGGGGGGTCAAGACTTAATTAAACTTAAGTACCAATTGTATACAGAACGTAAAAACCAGAACTTTATACTAAAGTAACTAACAATTTCATTTTCAATTTATAGTAGTACAAAATAGGGGAGACACTGCACAAGTTATGGTTCTTTAACAAATAATTTCTGAGACCACACAACGTTAGTAAAATATCAGGCTTACATTAGTTTAGGTAGATGACTATAAAAAAACTTGAAAACTAAAATACTTCATTTCCCAGAAAGGGTTTGTTTGTTTGTAATTCAGCGTTGTAAGTCCGCAGGCATGCCGCTGTGCCACTGGGGGCCCCCAGAAAGGGGCTGAAAGCTGCCTGGAGGAGTTACCTATTTTAATCACTCGCGCCACAATACAGTATTTGAATACAGTAGTGTGGTGTGTCTCAGTCAGTCAGTAGACATGAAAATGACGTCACATAAGGACCAATTTGTACTGTCGTGACGTCAGTAAAACGTGCGCATGCCATGGATCACGAGAAGACTTATGCACTCTGTATGCTGCAACACAGCATGACATAAGGATTGGAAAAGCAAGAAATAAAAATATTTGTTACTCTTAGTTTTGGTTTTATTTAGTATTGAAACAGAACACTTCGTAAGTACATCTATTTTATGTACTATAATAGCACTAATAATCCTGCGCAGTTAAAACAGCCGGATCAGTTTGGAGATTACACCGTCTGCTGTAATGGCTAGTCCGCCTCTGCCAACTGGACACTGGGAATAGTCACGATGAGCTCTCTTGTAGAAGTATGTAAAAAAGAAGAAGATTAATGCTTTGTCAGAGAAATAATTACTTATTCACATTCAAATTAACATGTGTGTTAATTATACCAATAATAATATGCATCGAAAAGGACTTACTTGAAAATATTTTAGTTGAAGGACTCCTCTGTTTTCAAAATTAATGATCATATGAACCATGTATGACTAGAGTTTTAGCATTAAACTAGACAACCCGTAATCCGTTGGGTCACCCACTATTCAGAGGTTATG